CAATTCAATAATGTGTTAGTTATTGCAACTATTTGAACAATTTCGACATATAATTACTTACTATGATTCACATGTTTCAATCACTTGTTGTTGTTTTTAATTTTTTACTTACTTTCCATGTTTTATTTGATATTAAATGGAAGGTTACAGTTTCAAATATCACTCGTGATGGTCGTCTTTGACATAGGTCCGACTTTATTTTGAATTTTGTCAACGGTTCTAATAAAACTACAGCGGAGAATCACCACTGAACTATCAAATTACTTTATGGGAGTTCCAGCTGAAAGTTTGTCTGGACGCTTAATACAACTCTGGATACCAGAGGGTGTTTTTTGTTGTTGTTGTTCATTTTTTTCTCTCGTTATTTGCGACCATGGAAACACAGTTTTTAATTATCCGTTTTGAGAAGTTAAAATGCATGAACAGTCATTAGCTTAATGCTAATTATTTCAATAATCATGACATAAGTTCAGGTCCCCGGGCCCCTGAGGACCAGTTTTGTATGCCCACATATTTACAACACATATCAGATGATTATAATAACTCTCAGTATGAAGTTCTATTTATTTTTTGTTTTTATTTTACAACATTTAGGGTAATTAAGTTTGTCGTGTGACCTTTGGAACATTTAGCGGGTTTTTGAAGCCATTTATCCTGTAAAATTACTTGCTCGAGACATTACATCAAGTCTGTGTTACTAGGATAACAGATAGTTTGGAAATGAGAAAATATATAATTGAAGTATTAGCAACAAAGTCAGTTTAATGATGGTTACAATATACCTTTATACTTACATAAATTGTAATTGCTCTATGTCTACACATTTGGCTCTATTTCTTTGTCATTTGTTGTTTTTAAGCGGCTCAGTTTAATATTTATAATTTGTTTAAAATAATGTAATAAAAGTAAAACTTGCTCTGAAAACAAAAATTAGCTGTTATTAAAAAGAAAGAAGTAAAACACTGGAGCATTCTCTTTTGTTACGCAATATCAACAGGCTTTTGATTTTAACTGAAATACGCTTATACTGTGTGAAGATTCATAAGTCTGAAGGCAATTACCTAGAGCGCTCAGCAACAGCTAACGAAATATATAAAACTAAGTTGTGAGATAATTTTCGTTATTGCTTTAAAGATATACAATCACATAACTTACTTTATATGTGAAATCTGCACCCAAGAGTTTCGAACATCTAGTAATTGATGGAGATTTTAAAATTAGCCATCTCAACAAATGGCATTTAATTAAAATCACGTTAAAACTTGAAAAGATATGGCAAAGTTGAACATGGGTTCAAGAAACAAGGAATCAGAGATAGTGTATGATGCGAACAGCTAGTTAGAGACGTTGATTTTGTATTGTTAGCTTAGTATATAGATTTACGAATACCATAAATCCTTTCAGCTGAACGAACTTTGTGACATATTATTGGGATAATGGCCGGAAATATCGTTAATAGCAAGGCACTTAACTGATGGATCTATGCACTTTCATCATTAACAAGCTCTTATTTTATGACGTCGTATATTCCTAGTTAGATTAATATATTAAATTAGCTACGTTGTTTACTGATTGATATTTAGTTCTAATTTATATAAGTAGCTTGCTTTGATCAGAAGTTATTGATAATAAATTATTACGTTTTTGCCAGAAACTAGCGATAACTAATTAGTTAATTGTTTGAATAATTGTTGTTAAAAGTGCCTCCCAACCACGTTTTAACTTGTACCTTGCAGACATTTTTATCCAGAAGGGACTTTACAGTCCCATAAAGTGAAAAACAAATACCGTTTTATCTTTTTAAGATTCGTATATTGGAAAGCTAGCGAAGTAAATCAATATAACTAAATAAAGAAAAAAATATTCTGAACAAAAACCCAAGTTCTTCGATGAACCGATATGAATGGCGGATTACAAAATTTGTCAAAACAACAGGTATTATATTATCCAAGTTTCGAAACCATTGCGAATTTCCACGAGCAATATTTGGGGCCGAAGGCTTGTGAAATTAAACTAAATAAACAACGAATGCAAACTTAGTTTATGAAACACTCATGCTCTTCCCCCATCCCCAATGTTATACTCTATGCTTAAGTCCCCCAATTTGATGATGTAGTACATGTTGATAATGTGTTTTAACTTTAGCTCTTGAGTTCAAATTTGAGCTTGCACAAAGAAATGATCTGAATATCCTATAGATAATCTTGTTATTATAGCAATTGACCGGGATAATACATCGTCTAAACACGATCTGATTCGTGGGTGGGTTGAGTGACTGTCTGCTTGAAATTGGCATTGTCCATGTATTTTTTCAATGGAGAGTACGGCTCGGATAAAGCATCAGTGTTGAAGTTCTGTAAGATAACAGAGTTAGTGGTAGGTGTATCTTAAAGATGCTGTAGAATGTGTTGCAGGTCAGACAGAAATGCTTTCTGAGATGTCAATAAAATTGATACATAAAGGTCGACGAGTGATGGCAGGTGTGATTTCGTGGCTGGCTAATGAATCATTAACGAACATTGCAATTCCATGTAATATGTTCCTTGAATCCCGTCCCTTCATAAACAATATGAAGTTTAAGATAGTACAATGGTCTTTAATATTGAAAGTTTCAGTCCATATTGGCACCATTAACAGCACGTGGACGTGAGTGGAGTCTTCTCCAGCTGATGTTAGCCATATTCTGTATGACTTTTATCAGGTGTAATTTCAATATTTCCGGTTACAAAAGTATATTCTGGATCAGGCTTGTTGCTATCCATAGTCGCTTTGTGACACCAATTAAGTAAATGGTGAAATATTGACCTCTGTTCCAAATTAAGAGATTATACAATATTTCTGTACTGCAAGTGAGTAAGAAGTTTAAGAATCAGTTCAATTACAAGAGATTGTGTTATTTTCAGTCAAGATTGCTATGACTATCAGAATTTATAATAGGATGGTCATCACCAAGTATTGCACCTTCTTCAAGAGCATCTGCTTCTTAATGCTCTGGTTCAAATTGTTCTCAAACATGTTTCAGAGGTCCCTCTGTTTGGTAATCTACAATTGTATCTCCACCAAGTCAGTGTTTGAAAGAAGTGATTTGATGTGTGATTATATCATTTATTTTATGTGATGGTCAATACATATATGAAAATCTGCTTTTGAATCCTGTGATTCATTTCCCAATGTCATGAAATAAGTATTTTATTGTAGTTATAAAGTTCTAGTTATTTTGAGAGTGAATACTGATGATGCGATGATAGTGTGTGACATTTGGTGCACGATTATCATTTCTTCAATATTCTTTTGTAAGATTTTGCAGACTTCACCAATTATTTGAAGGTCGTAAGCACAAGAATATGAAAGTTAATTTTTCATTTTCTGACCTGTAAATTGCAAGAGCATAATAGACAATATCCCTATGTCATGTTGAGTCATGAAAAGTGAATTTGCCTTTGACTCATGTACTACACATGTTAATCTGTTGTAGGAATCAGTAGTTAGCACCTGTTATGTTAGTTTTATCAATATCTATTAATCCTGTATTGAAATATGTTTATAAGTTTTGGGTGGATTTTCTATGTAACAGTG